CGAATTTTAATAAAGTTTTATTTCGTGATTTAACATTTGATCTTTTATCGAGTATTGCAAATGATCCAACAGAATTTGATGAATTAAATGATGCTTATTTGAATAAGTTATATGAACGCACAGATGGTGATAATTTACGGCAATATACGAGAGAAATTTATGAGAAAATTTTTTGTAAGGAAAAAAAATAATAATAAATAAAAGAAAATTTATCAAAAACTATTATTATTATTCTTATGTAGCTTTGCAAATTGTACAATCGATTTCAGCAATTCATTTAAAAGATTCATTTCATGAAAAAATTATCATAGTTTATTTTTAGACATTTTCTAATGTTCATTCTTCACATACGATGCAAAGAATTATTGGGATTGATAAACGATATTCTATTGTTGGTGTAAGTTATTTCGAATTGATTTGAATAACATATGATTTCATATTCTGTATAGACTTATTTATTTTCTGGTATGATTTTAATCAAGAAGATTTCAATAAAATAGACTTTCGGATTGATAGAAAGGGCAGTAATAAGTTTCTTTTATTAGAGATCTAAAGCTTACTTCCGGCGAAGATTATGCAGATAGGAAAGTAAGATACTTGATAGATTTAACAGTGTTTAAAAATGAAGAAGGAGAAGAAGAAGAAGATATCTTGCTTTTCCATTACTGATGCTGGTGTGTAGAGTGCTGCCAGTGCAGTTTTGATAAGGCGACGTTCGGACACAATATCTTTGACAAATATCATGTGTGTTCAAAATAAATTTCATGCGGCGAAAACAAAGGCGTTAGAAATCGTTTACTTTATCTTTAGCTATATCAGAATGAAGTGTTGGAAATTTTACACCGATGAGATAAAGTTTTTTGTTACTATCATACTAGAAAATTGACCGTGCACAGTAACACATAATTTACGTATTAAAACCTATTGTTAATTGTTAACAAGTGCTACTTATAATCAATTTCTCTAGGTTCTAGCAACGAAGAGGAAGGTCATTGGATATGTTTCTATAGCAACAAAGGATAATAGGCATTGGACTTCTTTCCTAGAATTCCAAGATGTCACGAATGATGACTAATCCAATTAGCTTAATATAAATCACAGAGAGAGATTTCATTATTTTTTTTATCTAGACGATAGATATAAATATTCTAGAACTTCTTAATTTTTCTTTTTCATTTTTAATATATAATTCAAGATCACTGTTATTAGTGTTCATTCTCGAAAATATGAACATGAAAAAAAAAATAAAGCAAATGTTCGACATGCTGTTGAAGAACAATCACTTTCATTTGAAGTTGTTAATAATCATAGTTTACAAGTACGGAAACATAGTGGTGGTCAAATTTTGCCAACAGCACTTGTTTTTGGATCTGATTCATTATCAATATTTATATTTGAAAGAGGAAATTATGTACAACATTTAGAATTATATTTGGTACCTGTTTTTGCTTATTATAAATCAAGTGTATGTGCATCATTAAATAATTCATTATCAATAAAAAGTTCACCAGAAGATTTATCTGCAACTAGTGAAAGTGAAGACAAATTGTTTTTTTAATTTAAATATAAAATAAAATTTTATTTTAAAATAGCTTCAAAAACACCGAAATTTACATATCCAAGTAATGTATGTATAACTTCAAGTGAACATTTATGTATTTCATTTACAGGTTCAAATCAATTGATTTTCTGCGAAGTTGATGGCAAAGTTCTTGTAAGTTTACTTATAAAAATTTTTATATAATAAAACGTTATTTTTTTTTTCATAAGATATTGTTAATAATGATCATTCTGGTTTGGCTGATGGTAATATATCATAATGTGAATTTGATGCACCACATGGTCTTGTAGAATATAATAATTGTATCTATATTGCCGATACAAATAATCATGGAATTCGTGTGGTAAGAAGATATTGAAAATAATGTGAAAAATCATTTTTTCTTTTTGCTTAAATTTATATTTAGTTTGATCCTAATTGACATCGTGTAGTTACATTAATTAGTACTCGTCGTTTAGGAACTGACAAAATTGATGGTCTTAAACGTATTCAACAACCGATTGCTTCACTATGGGATTTATGTATTACAGAATCACCATGTAAGATTTATTCTTTTAAAAAAAACAAAGATAAAGTATTATTATATAACGGGTGTGCGCAGATTAAATAGGATGAAAGTTTTTTTTTTTTTGTTTTGGAGACATTCGATAGAGAATTTTTGGTTCGATAAAATTGTTGTGTTTGTTTTTTAAGTGAGTTTTTATTGTTGTAACAAAATTGAAAGTTTTAATATATACTCATTCGTCTACATTGATCAAGAAAAAAAAGAGAAAAATCATGCAAATTTTTTTCAAAGTGGTTTTGCTGAAATTTTCAATATGCCGCAAACTTGTTCGTCTTTGAAAATACTTTTCAAAGTTTTAGAAAACATTTGTGAGAAAAATCTTGAAGTAAAAAAATGAGAACAGTTAGATGATTGAATAAACGTTCATGTTTTAAACTTTGTTATAACAAAAAAAAAATCCTAATGTGCCGCGATAGAATGGTCGTTAGCAGAAAGCCAACCGCTTAAGTATCAAATTACTTTCGGTTGATGGTTGGTACATAGATGACGTTTTGTCACTATTGACAAAAACCACCGATATAGAGCACATTAAACAGTGTCCCATAAGTTCTGCATCTCAACGAAAATTAGTTTATATGTAAACAAGCAGTAATCCTTACTCAACTATATTTATAGAAGCTTCTAGTACTTATGACGATGTTTTTAATTGACATTATCTCTTCTAATAATAGTGATATAAATAGAAGAGACATGATAATTAAGGTGTTGGTAGAGGATAGCTACAGTCTCGAAATCTTTTAAGAAAAAAAATCATGTTATTTTTTTTTTACTAGTCGATCATAAATTAGTATTACTTATTTCAATGGCTGGTCAAAGCTAAATATGGGCATATGCTTTCGAAGAAACTCCATGGTAGAATGATGTGTATGTGAAATATAAAATAATTTTTTATTAATTGCATTTGTTTTTTTTTTGTTCATTTAGTATATTACAAAAAAATTCATGTTCAGCAATAATTGGAAGTGGTGTTGAAGAAAACAGAAATAGTTCTGAATCAATGACTGCTGATTTAGCATCTCCACATAGTATTTGTAATGGTACAATGAATGAAGAATCGGTATTATTCATTGTGGATAGTGATAGTTCAATTACACGTATTGTTACACTTCACGATAGACATGTTGCTAATTTAATTGGTGATGATGATGATCCAAAAGTATGAGAAAAAGAAAATTTTTCATTGTTAGAATTGAATTTGTTTTTGAAATAGAATCTTTCAGCATTTGGTGATCTTGATAGTAATGGTCATAATGCCAAATTACAATATCCAGTTGGTATTGCATTTCATTATCCATCATCACAATTATATGTAACAGATAGATTTAATAATAAATTAAAACGTGTTGATATAAAAACTTTAATTTGTTCAAGTTATTTTGTAACGGATACTGATAGAAAAAAACAACGTGGAGAAACAAATTCAGCTAAATTTAATGAACCATATGGTATAGCTATATTTGAACATTTTCTCTTTCTTGCTGATAAAAATAATTCACATGTTAAACGAATTGATCTTGATCAGGACACAATTGTTCGAGTAAGTATATTTTGAATTTAATTATTTGTAGATTATCTGATATGAAAACATATATATGAATTTAATAAGAAAATATTCTCGTCATAGGAAGTATTGTTTCAAAAAGTAGAATCATTAAGTAAAAATCTGGTTGATAAAATAGGGTTTTTTTTCTTTGAAAAATTTAATTTCAGATATTATAGCAGCTAATCGAATATATCTTTATTTGATTTTTACTGCATGATGCGTTTTGAGGAGCTTACATATATTTCCGAAAGAAAATAGTGCATGTAAGTTTAAATTGAGGTTTTTTTTACTTCCCCATCTCTATATCTTAGCATCCGTGGTAAAAGTAGTAACGGAGAGAGGCCAAGGGTCATTGTGTACGCTTCGATAACAATCGAGGACAGCAGGCATTAGACTTCTTTCCAAGAATTGCTTAGCAATGGAAAAAAGTGCTGAACTAAAATTATGACAAGACTTAGGCTGTCTTAGAAAATTTTAGAAATAAAAGTTTAATGTTCAAGATGTCAAGAATGATGCGTAATAATCTATTGATTTACTACAATTGTTATATGATCAACATAAAAAGCATTAATTAATCAAGTTAGAACTTTTGAAAAATAATCAATATCAATGTTTCTCAGCTTACTGTGTTCTGATCTGCTGTAGATATAATGGATATGTACAACAGGCTTATTTGTCAGTTAAATCAATAGTTAGAATAATAGTAACGTTAAATTAAGAAAAGCAACGAGCGAATAGTAACAGAAATAAAATAAAGCAAATCCATAGAAAAGAATTATAGTCTATTGGAGATTTTTTATTTGATGTATTTTGTAATAGTATAATGATGCTAAAGAATACATGTGAATTCCACTTTTTAGCATCAAAGGCGCTGTACTGACAAGTTTTTTTTTTTTTAATGAGAACTCTGAATAAATCCATGAATATCCAAACATTTATTGGAAAAAAGTTTTTTGTTTGATTTTTTCGTTTTAACTAGCTGAGCGATGGTCCTTAAACAGCTTTGATCGAACAAATTTACTGACTGTTGCCTGAAATGATATGACCGATTTACTGAGTTTTTGATTCATTGTTGGGTACTCCTTGAAAGATCGGATAACGGAGTTTTCATCCAAAATTTTGTCTATAGATAGATCTAATGACTCTTAGCATATCCTGAAAGTTTCAACTGAAAAGAATGTTCCTTCGTTGAGTTATTGGATTTTCAAGTGAATACAATTTATGTGACAAACAGCTGTCGTTGAAAATTCAATATCTTGACAAAAGAACATTCTTTTCGCCTGGCACTGTCAGGATAAATAAATTGGAAATTCAGTAAACCGATCATAACTCGGCAACAAAGACCAATGGTAAAGAACCCTTTTTGGGCTTTTGCTAATCTTACTGAGATCGAGATGATTCCCTCTGTAGCGTTATAATCAATAGTATTGTTCATGAATGAGAATTTGATCGTGACTTAGATTTCAATAATATTATGAATTTATATTTAATTATTAAATTGACTATTCTTTATTGATTTAGTAAAATGTCTCAAATATTTTTGTATAATTAAAATAAATTTATTTCTTTTTTCATTTCTAGTATCGATTTGATTTAAGTGAAACATTGAATGAAGAACGTTCATTTAGTTGAAAACAAGCTTATTTAACTATTCTTCTAGCTGATGGACTTCAATTACATAAAGGTAATGCTGATACATGGATTATTGATGATGAAGATAAAATAATAAAATTAATTTTTATTATTAAATCTAATATATGATACATATTGATAGATGGTTTTAAAATATGTGATGGTGAAATAACACGTTATATATTCGATTAAATACTTTTAGATTATATTCCACATGATAAACAGATAGCTCAGCTTAAATATGAAGTAATGGTATGTCAAGATGAAAATTGTTCAACGATGAATTGTATAGTTCAACTGGCTAATCAAACAAATTCGACTATTGAATTTACCATTAAAACCGATCAAAAAGAAACAACAAATTCTGACTAGTTATTTTTTTTTTTCTTTTTCATTTATAATCCTGCAAATATTTTGTTTTACTCTTCAAATTTTACTCTTCTCATGTTAAATCTTGCATAGCATTACATTGCACAAAAACCACCCCAATTGAAAGAAAATACATCAAATTAATGTATGCGAAAAATAAAATGTAAATAAGAGTATACTTTTTATTGTTAGATTTATTATGTATTTGTTCTTGGATTGGATTATATGAAAAATTAACATTATTATCTAAGTTTTGTTTTTTTTTTAAATAAATTACATTGTTGTCTGTAAGATGCTTAAATATAATCATGAGATCTTGTCAGATTTCAACAACAAGTCTTTGTCCGTTTTCTTTTTATGCATTGTAACTGTGGCTATTTTAATTAGCAAATAAAATTATGAATGAAAAAGGAAAGATATTCTTTAATCTGTTGGCTATGGGGTTGCTATATTTACAAGCTGAATGTTTATGCTGATTATAACTCTTACAATCTTCTATTTCTCTCTTTTTCTTATGCTTTTAGCATCATTGTATGATATTGTTGTAGAAAGAAAAAAAAGGAATTGCGGATTTAAAGGTCTTTGAGAATTCATAGGCTCTCTCTATGCTGAAAATCGATAAAACTTTTATGAAACTAAAAATAGGTAAAATTGCTTAGTATATTACAATCATTATTATTTTAGAAAGTTGTGATTACTGCTAAGATTTTATGTGTGTTAACTATAGTTTAAAATGCAAATTTTTTTCACTTTAGTCATTATCAACAACATAACATTTTACTTAGCAAAAAAAAAAGAATAAATAAATAAATAATAATAATAACAGTTTAAGATTAGCATGACATTTATCACGACCAAAATAAAATTAAAGTTCTTCATGTTTATCAAGTAATTCTTCAGTAATAGCTTTAGCACATAGTAATGGTGTTTTGAATGTTATTGTATATTGACATCGATTTGGCTCTTGTACATTAACAATTTGATTTTCAATTCCACATTCAAATGTAACTATTAATGATCGGGCTGGACCATTCCAACATGTATCACCATTCGAATATTTCATTTTTAAATATTTATTATTTGCTGGTCCAGCCCATGAATTCCAATATCCAATTATTATTGCAGTATCACCAACAATTGACATTTGTTTAGCATCTTTAAACATACATAAACAATATATATATTTTGGTTCTTCATAAAAATAACATTGATCAATAAATACTGAATATTGACCATCAATACCAACATCAACATCAGGTTTTTTATTTAAATAACTAAAACAAAAAATAAAATAAATAGATACATAATTATTTATTAAAATACAAACCTGATTCTTCGTTCCATGTAACGAAGTCGTAGTTCAAGTTCATTTTGATCAACTCGACTATGATCAATAATTTCATTTAAATTTATTTTATCACCATCATCACCAAAAATTTTTATATCTAAATTAAATTTATAAAATACAATAAGGTATTATAAGAAATTTCGCAATCGAATAAAATATTTTGGTTGATATTTCGATACTTACTAATCCATGATGACGTACAAATAATTACAACCGTATATGCTAAATAAAAATTTTTTATTAAAAAAAATTGACGGCAGTGATTCATACGACTTACCACCGATCAGAATAATTACAAAACGAAGAGTTAGCAATCTCGCAAGTAATGATTGTGATGGTGGTACTGGTGGCTGTGGTAGTTGTGGTGGTATTTGTGGTTGTTGTACCATTCGTTGAATATTATTTGTTGAAAACAATTCATACTAAAACAAGATAAGAATTCCTAGGAGCTATTGCACGAGAGTCACGATCAACCTTGCTCAACCGGGGTCACCGATTTCAATGAAATTTTGCCTATACGTAGGCCCAAGTTAGATGTAAAAATTCCTAAAATTTTAGCCCTCAAAACTGTTCCCTTGTTGAGATATAAAGTCTACACGGTGGGTAAAAATGTTTTCCCAGGAGATAACGCTACAGTTTCGGATAGCTTACACCAATAATTTTATACCAAATTAAAGTCCGTCAAAAACGGGATTTTTTGATACTAAATAGTAACGATTGTCAAAACCTTTTAATGTCTAACTGAAGAAATTTCCACAAATGCTATGCATTTTTGGGCATGGAAAAACTA